TACGCTTTTACAACACCAATGATGCAACACTTTTAATAATGTTATAAGTTGAATGAAACTTTCTAATTAAATTTGTTGGTTAAGAAGCCAGCTGGTGACTTTCTTTGATTAAAACATTTCTTTCTAAACTTCTTTCGACCTAATTATCTCCCGCCCATATTACCCAGAAAAGCCATTGTAATGAATAATGTTGATTCATATCAGATTATTTGTCAAATCAATACAGTCAGAATAACAACGTATTCTTTAGTTACAATGTTTTGTATGAAATATTATAATTTAATATCGAGGTTGTTGGTAATGGTGTCAATTTGTAAAATGTCATTCTATTGAGTTTATATTTAGCCATTTTTACAGTATGAGTTATCACATGGATGACTATCAAAAAAGCTATTATAGGTAGACTCTAATTAAAGTCGAGGAAAACATTTCACATAAACACTTTATAATAGTTGTTATTTCATGAGTACAGCACCACAAGTTTCATGAATTAAAATGGATACGATCAATAACATTGCAAATAAAGGTTGGCGTGTAGAAGGGTAAATGCCTCATACCGGTTTTATTATCCAATTCTTTAACATGGCATATATGTATTCTTTTGAATAGCACCTCATTTCATAGACTTAATACTTTAATACTTTTTATTGAAATGGCGACCATACAAATTAGGTATTTCAAACCAAGTATGAATGAGTGTAGGATGAGTGACGCGATCTTGTAGTCTTGTTAGTGACTAAGGCCGACATATTCCTCAGACACAGCTGTTAATTAATAGCCCATACATGGGACCTACATTTTACAGTGGAATCCAAACCACATTGCCTTGGTATTAACGAATTGTCTATTATCAGGATAGTATTGCGGATAATCGTAGTACTCACTAGTGCGGAGATTCCTAATTATAATTAAATCGTAGGATTGACGCCGTACAGCATTGAAGACTCTGTAGAACACATGCGCATTTTAGGGAATTAGTTATGTCAAAATGACAATTTTGGTTTTCACACGAACATGTTTGTCTTATACGAGCAGAACTTTCCGAACCACCTTCAACTGTTTTACCATAGGGGTTGCCTGCTTTTAAATTCAAATTATTGCTCAAATCTTCCTGCTCATCTTCTCTGTGCGTAGGTTGGTATTGTAACCAAGTTTACTGGTATTATTGCTTGTTAGCCAAGCTGGTTGTATTGTTAGATGTACCAAGTTTGATGTCAAATATTAGGGCGCTCCTGCTCAACTCATCTGAAACTTGGAACGGAGTTGCTTGTTTGAGTTTCCAATCCGGCAACTTTAACGGTTGGAAAAAATAATTGTTGAACCGTATTAAAATTAAGGAACCTAAAAATGTATATTCCTAAATAGTTGTAATTAATTATGACTATATAATTTTATGATTTCCTTCCATGACATTTTAATAAGAGTAGTCATATTACGTTGAAGAATATTATTTGTATAAATTAAATATATAAATACGAACATAAATACACATTACACCATATTAGATTTCTATTATCATTCATGAATACGGTACTAGTAGGAACATGGATCAACTTTAAAAGTTTGAAACTAAAGCATATTAATTTCAAGTTACCAATATTATAGGGAGTTTTGTGTTCAACCTTCACATCTAAGAATGCAGGTTCTAGTCCGGAACAGTGTTAACACATAATTAGTAGTGTAATGTGTAATGTAATGTGGTTATACATATTAATTCAGGCTAGGCCTAGACGGTCACATTATTGTCGAATTGTCTTTAGCGATTGACAGGATTTGAACCTGGGACTTTGGAATCCTAGCCCCAAGCTCTACCTATAGTCCTCGTTCCACTTACACTAGAACTAGGTAACAACATGTGTTCAACCTTATTCCATAATATAAATAATGCGTAGTCGTTGGTACTCGGGTTATATAGGTAGCCTACTGTGCGAGCTCAATACTCAATAGTCCTAACAATATAGAGAGCCTTGAACAATGAGGCCAGTTAATTAATGATCTCAACTTCCATTAGAACCACATAATAGTTTTGAGCCTAAACAAGGAAACCTATCGTTTTAGTGTTTGCAATATTATAAATTTGGATAAAATAACAAAGAGGCTATTTATATATATACTGCTTACATGTATTTGATAGTTTGACACATAATTACAAAGTAGGTCCTACACCATATCGTGCCTTTTAAGCTTTTAACCAGAATTATACATGTACCTTTGTCAATTTACATCTTACAAATTAAATTTATAATCACAGCAAGGTTAGGTAGGGATCAACTGGTTTCCAAACCCATTCATTACTTCAGCCACACAAATCACGTGCAATGGTCATATCATGCTTAGAATCCATTAGTGTGAAATATTGCGTGTACTGTAATTGGTTAGAGGTGAATGTATCCCGGTGATCAGATCTGCCTGATAGACAAGTCTAATTGTAACCATAGATAAATCATTGTGTTCCTAGTCTATGTTGTAACTCAATATAGTGCAGCTTTGATAACCATGCACAATCAACTGAAAAAGGTTAGGCTATCTGCATATTCACTATTTAGTTATGGTTATGTAATTTCTTAATGGCTAACGATTCGTATCCAACACATAAGTGGGATACGACATTTATCGTCATATCACACATTTATTCTCCCGTGACTCTCTCGTGAAATGCCACTGGCGTTGAAAAAAAAACTGGGGAAAGCAACTTACTCGTGCATTTATATATGGAAAACTCATAAAAATTATGTATTCTGCTGCAACGAGAGTTATTTTGTAGGTTTTTATGGTGAAATCACATTAAAAGTCTTAATTTCAAAAAATGTGAAATTCCCTGGAGATACCACGAATTAGTACCTACACACCAAATTTCATCGGCCATTAAAAATACTTAAACTGAAATAACATAAACAATAAGTTAGCCTATTAGTTCATAATACACATGTTTTGGGGTGAATTTTTCTACCGAACTGAAAAAATGAGTACCGTACCTAAATAAAAAAAAATAATAAATAAATATTGATAAAGAGTAAAACGGGTTAAATTTATTAAAATACTGTCATGTCTATAGTCATGCTTCATTTTCTATAACAAATACTTTACATTAAAAAATATAAATATTTATAAATGGGAGTCCTATAGACCCCCGCGCAGGTAGTTGTGTCACAAAAACGGGTGTGAGAACTTAAGCAAGGTTTTATCAGATGTGGTTGCAAGAGGAACTGTTTAGGTAAATCGTGAAAATGTGTTAAGTTATACCAGTAGTCTGTGGTAATACTTCCAACAAGTAAAATATAAATGTAAGAAGAACTGTATAATAATAGCCGTTTTAAGTTTGTTCTTATAGCGGAAAAAACGTATTATCAATGTCCGATTTTAGTGTATGCGGCAGTTTATACAGGTTATTTGGCGTTTCCACAAACTAGAAGTCCCACAACCCGACGTGGGCAATCACTTTTGCTCACATCGCGTTGTGAATATTTTGGAATTATTCAATTGCCTAATAACGTTTTGACTTCGGGAATTGAGCAAATCAGTTTACCCACAACGCGGTCTGGGCATTTCGCTTCGGCCAATGTCCGAATAAAATACTTAGTCCGCGACGCACGTGGGTATTTCACACTTTCCACATCGTGGAGTGGGTAACATTTTCAGAAATTGTCCGAATTAGGACAACATTTTATGCATAAGTAAGCAAATTACAGAATATAAGAACTTTACTCGTGGGCTAAATTTAAATGTCTAAGCCATTTTGTAACCAAACAAGTTATGTCAAAGTATGCAAAACTGCTAAATCATTTTAATCTATAACAGATTTTATTTAACACATGTTATTGCGTGTAAGACGATTCAATTTTAGCCTTTTAGCTAAGTTTGTTTAGAAACGTGTATCATTAACAATTAAAACACATCTTAACAGGTTTCAAGAGATGCGGCAAGGGAAATAAGTCATCTAACAGATTTAAATTTAATATTCCAAACTCTTTCACTTTTATAATATAATTGTGTATGTATAAAACATTGTAACTTTTGTAGTCTATTTACACAGAATATGTTTTACATTTTTTTATTTTAGAAGGTAAGATATGTAATATCAACCTATATGTAGGATCTGTTTGCTTTCTTGTTTAAACTTAATGGCCCTTGCGATATTGTTGAAACGTGTTGTTTCAAAAATAGGCTCCAGATGAAATAGATACTTGGGAAAATTATAGTTATTTGTTTATATGAATAAAAATTACTTGGATATGAATAGTTGAAATGATGAAACTAACGTCAAGACTTCGTCATCTTGAAAAGTTAGAAAATTAATGTAAATGTGGTGAAATAGAAGATTTTACATTATTGTATCTGCAATGTGAAAGTATTGACAGAGTACCCCATATTGTGAGTACTTATACAATTGACACTGTAGGGAAAAGCATTGTATATATTTAGAGTTTCGAGTACGAACAAGTAATAGAGAAAAGGAATCGCTTGGTCTTATCGCGATATTTCTGCAATAAAATACGACGTTATAAACGATATTGGCGATTGATGGATGAGAAATGGTCTCTCATCATCTTTACTAAAAATGAAATCTATTTTTTTTTTACTTTTGGTTAAACAGAACGTGGTGATTTTCAATCTTGCAGTGAACACTCCCTTTTATAGGTAGATACCGTACTAAGGAAAACTCGTTATCAAAATTGTATTTACCTTATTTTATCATACAGCACTGAATGCATTACTTACAATTTATTTAGAACCAATTTAACCTATCAAAGTAGTAGCTTCACGCTCAAATATACAAGGAATCACGCTCATGCTATGTTCAAAATGAATAGTTTAAATTATTTATTATATCTGTAAATGAAAAACTGATGTTCCTTGGTGAACATTTAAGCAACACTAAAAATCTTTATTTATTTACAAATTGGAATAGAAGCATATTTTTTTTAATCATCTGTTTAAAGAAAGACAAAGTTCAATATAATTAAACCTTTAACTAACATAACATTTTCTCCGGGGCGAGTTTAAGTCATCAGCTTGACTAGTTTAGCAGTCGGTCTTCTCCAGGTGCCGGTGGACGTTTTGATGTCTGCCACCCTCACTTGGCCATCTCGTCCAGGGTAAACAGCTTCGACTACACCCTTTGTCCACCTTCCTCTGGCTTGGTTTTCATCAGTTATTAAGACCAGGTTACCGACTTGCAGATTTACTTGTTTTGTGTGCCACTTGGAGCGTTTGTTTAGTAAAGGCACATATTCTTTCAGCCAACGTTTCCAGAATTTGTCTGCCATGTCCTGTGCGATCTTCCATTGTCTATGCAGGTGCTTCTCCGTTATAATGACAGCTGGTGTGACTCTATCTGCTCCTCCCTGGAGAAAGTGGTTTGGTGTCAAAGGGAGCTCATCATTAGGGTCGTCTGATACAGGAAATAAGGGTCTGTTGTTGATTATGTATTCTACTTCACATAATAGAGTAGTCAACGTTTCTTCTTTAGGAGCTTGGGTGTTTAAAATCACTCTTAAACATTTCTTCACCGATTGTATAAGACGTTCATGCGCACCACCCATGTGAGGGCTCGCCGGTGGTAGAAAAGTCCACTTCATCATCTTCCCCACGCAGAACGTTTTAATTTGTTCGTTATCAAAAGACTCAAGTCCTTTTCTTAATTCCTTCTCTGCGCCCTTAAAGTTGGTACCATTGTCTGATATCAATTCCGAAGGACAACCCCGTCTTGCTGCAAATCTCCTGATTGCAAGAATTGCCGAGTCTGTATTGAGAGAAGCTGCAATCTCCAAGTGTACCGCTCGCACTGACAGACATGTGAACAACACTCCATATCGTTTTTCTCTTCTGCGACCTATAGTGACTTCCAGAGGCCCAAAATAATCCACAGCCACACAGGTGAATGAACGTCCATAAGGTTCTAATCTGTTTGCCGGAAGAGGAGCCATCTCAGGAATTTTAGGTGTGTTTCTGCGCAGCTGACAATTCTTACAATTTGCCCAACAGCTCTTAATTGCTCGCTTCAAACGGATTACCCAAAATCGTTGTCTCAAATTATTTGCCACGGTTTCTTGACCTTGATGAGCTGCCTGTTCATATTCATGTTGGATCAATAGGACTGTAAGTCGATGTTTAGGATCTAAAATTATGGGATTTTTCAGGTCTTGACTGATTTGGTTCCCATATTCAGTCCTTCCTCTCATTTTCAATAAGTTCCCTGTCAAAATAGGGCTTAGCTTATGAAGTCGACTTTCTCGAGGAACTGGCTTGTTCTCCTCAAGATTCTTCATTTCTTTAGGAAAAGATTCTAGTTGTGAAAGTCTGAAGCAGGTTTCATCAGCTCGTTGAAGCTCTTCAACACCAAGACTCACATTTGTATTTCTCTCAGATTTACATCTCGTATTAGAAATGAATCGTTGCATCCATGCTACTGCTCTTATGAGTCTGGAGTATTTTGAAAATCTCTCCATATCGATAACATTTTCTTTGTTTTCAGGTAAAATTGCTAAGGCTACTTCATTGCAGTCTTCTTTTCTCGGAATGCTTTCAATTTTTGGCCATTCTTTTTCTTTTTTAAGTAAGAAGGCTGGACCTTGGAGCCAACGGCAATCGTTCGTTAATGGAGTTGATGATTCCCGTGTAGCTTCATCAGCTACATTTTCTGACGTAGGTAACCACCTCCATTGATTTCTGTCTGAGTTGCTCAGTATTTTATCAACACGATTAGCAACATAGGCTGACTTTTGCTTTTGAGTTGCTTGAATCCAGCACCACACAATTCTTGAGTCCGTCCAAAAGTATGTTTGGTCTATTTCCATTTTGTGAAACTGATAGATCAAAGATGCAATTTGACTGCCTAATACAGCTGCTTGCAGTTCAAGTCTAGGGATGGTGGACAACTTTAGGGGAGCAACACGTGATCTTGCCAGTACAAAAACAACTTCTACGCTATCCTCTGGTTTTTCAGTCCTAAAATAAGCAACCGAACAAAATCCTTTCTCACTTGCGTCACAGAAAATATGTAATGATACAGTGCAGTTTGCAGTCAAGTTGTAGCATCGAGGTATTTTCAGATTTTCCGAAATCTTCACATCTTTCATCCAATTTTTCCATGCCTTTTCCAACTGCGCTGGAATTCTTTCATCCCACTGGACATTCATTTTCCACATATTTTGTACCAGAATTTTGCCCTTCATTGTGATTGGAGTGATAAAGCCTATTGGATCATAAATGGACATCACAGCCTGGAGCACCTGTCGTTTGGTTGGTGGCTCTTTTAGATCAACGACTTCTTTCTTCACTTTTACAAAGTTGATTTTGAAAAGGAAGAAATCCTCATGGAAATTCCAGTGTACCCCGAGTACTCGCTCTGTGTCATCAGTTGTTAGTCCAACATCTTCTTCTTTCAAGTAGTTTTTTGACCAACTTTTCTTTGGCAGACAGCTCATTAACTCTGGTGAATTGCTAATAAAGTTCCTCAAATTGAAACCACCTTTTTTACATATGTTTACAACTCCTTCTATTAAGCTCTTAGCTTCTTCCACAGATTGGTTGCTATCAAGATAATCATCCATGTAGAATTGTTGATTTACAGCTAGCTTTGCATCTGGATGTTCCTCTCCATGTTTTTCACTATTTTTTCTAGTTATGTAAATGGCACTGGTTGGTGAGCAAACTGCCCCAAAAATCATTGATGTCATACACCACTCCTGTAATTTTCCGTCAGGTTCTTCCCTCCATAAAAAACGTAGTGAGTCTTGATCTTCTGGAATAATCTTCATTCTCAAAAACATCTCTTCAATATCTGCTGCGTATGCGATTTCATGTTTTCTGAACTGGAACAGAATACTTATCAGGCTATTGAATAAATTTGGTCCAGGTAGTAGACAACTGTTCAGGCTCTTTCCATGTGATTTTGACGCAGCATCAAACACAAAACGGAACTTGTCCGGTTTTCTGGGATTGTAGACAGGAAAGTGAGGAAGGTACCAGGTTTTCTCACTTTTGTTCTTTACCTCATCCAAATTTAACTTTTTTGCATATCCCTTTTCAGCATAACTTGCTATTTTCTGATGATATTGTTGACATAGTTTTGGGTCCTCTTTCATTTTATTTTCAACGTAGTTAAATCTCTTCAATGCAACGGAACGACTTTCTGGTAACCATGGTTTGTCTTCTTTCCATAACAAACCAGTTTGCCAACAACCATCTTCTGTTTGTGAACAGGTATTTTCCAATATTTTTTCTGCTCTAACTTCTTCATCGCTTTTATTGGATTCCTTAATCGGGCAGTCGATAAAATCCCTCTCAAAACTTTCTTTAACTAGTGAGTTAAGCTCCAACATATCTGAATTTGTTTCATGTTTAAACATAACAAAGTCGTTGTCTATACGAGTTTGATAGTTTACATTTCCAGTAGGACCATTTATTGTCCAACCTAGTTTCGACTTCAAAGCAATCGGTGCATTTGTAGGTCCAATGATTACTTTCAGAGGCACTGTCAAATGTACATGTTCATGTCCAATCAGTAGTCGTGGACGACCACGCTGAAACACTTCTTCAGGGATTTCCTGTAAATAAGACCATTTATTTTTCATTTGTTCTGAATTCATAGACTGTATTGGTAACTGCAAGGCTGTCAAAGTCTTCACGTTGTTTAGAGTAAAGTGTTCGCCTGTATCTCCTATAACTGTCAGTGTTACAGTCTGAGATTCTTTTTCTGTATAAACAGATCCATCTGTCCAGGAGAAAGATACAGGTTTAGTAGGTCCATCAATTTCGAGTTCTTCAACCAATCCCTTTTCGATGACAGAAATAGTTGAACCGTCATCAATTAAAGCAAATGTTTCAATTTGCTTGCCATTCTTTCCTACCAATGTTACTGAGAGAACCCTCAACAACACTCTTGCAACAGGTTCTTCTTGAAATCCCATATGTTCACTGTGAATTTCCAATTTAGGTGTCTCTTTATTAGCACCTTCTTCTTTTGAGGTCACGTGTAACAGTTTATTATGGAAATAGGTGCAGCCATTAACTCCACAAGCAAGTTTGTTACGACAAGTCATCGCTCGGTGTTTCGTCTTCAAGCAATTGAAACACAGACTGTTACTCTTGACTGTCTCCCATCTTTTATTTACATCATACTTTAGGAATTGCTTGCATTCTGTCAATGTATGGTCTTGTTTTTTGCAGCAAACACATATACATTTTTTAAACTTCTTGTCACCTTCATGTTGTACTAATACAAAGTTCTTGGAGTTTGATTCATTTCTTGATGACATGTTTTTAAAGTTTCCACTAGTAAGATGTACTGGGAGCACATATAATTGCTGCATCTGCCACAGAAGAGAGCCACGTCGAAAAGCTGTCGAGGCCAATTGGTTGTTTCAATTGAGACTGTGGTGAAGTGACAAACATTCCCCAGTTGAGCTTCATGTTGGTGGACAGTTTTTCTGTGAGCTCTTCCATAAGTTGTGGGTTAAACAAGTAGTGGTCCTGCTTCAAGGATTTTACCGTAACTACTAAGTTCCTTACCATGTCACTAAAAGCAACCAAAGTGTCAGGCTTGTAGTCCTTAGTTGGTGGTCGACCTTTCACGCTTGCTATGAGATTTTTAATAATTATATCTGGTCTTCCAAAACGCCGTTCCAACAAATTAACAATTTCTGGTACGTTCTCAGGATATATCAACAGTGCTGATATCATTTCTTTAGCTTTTCCAGTAATACACTTCTGAAGTCTTTGAAGATTCTCCAAATCAGTGTAGTCATTAATTTCAGTAGATCGCCTGTATTCAGCTATCCAAGCGGGCCATTGGTCTAGATCTCCGCTGAAATTAGGTAGAGCTGACAATATTCTCGCCGGCATCTTCTCTCTAAATATCATTTTATCAGGTTGACAATCTCGAGGGAAACACGAAACATCTCGAGGAATTCTCCTTCCTTCGCTGAAAGCTACAGTCCTTGCTTCTCGAGGATTTTCACAGTTTTCTTCTCGAGGCTTGAAACTAGACTGTACTTTGTGATGCGGCAAGGATACCTCCTGCTGTACACTCTTCATAATATTTACTGGAACATTAGTACAAGGCTTCAAAACGTTATTTTTATTAATGTCTTCAGCTTGATCCTTTGTCTGCATCCACTTTTCAACAGTTTCCTTTGTGGGCAATGGTCGTGGAAGAGAAGAAATTGAAGTCCTAGATGATCTGCTACTGACTCTTGACGATCCCCTGCTAAGCGATGACAGTCTGTCTTCAAGTAGCTTCTTCTTCATTTCTATTTCCTTCCGCTTGGCTTCTTCCTCCACTCGGGCAAGTCTTTCATCAGCTGCTGCTATTTTTACTGCTGCCTCTGCCTCTGCTTCAGCTGCTGCTATTTTTACTGCTGCCTCTGCCTCTGCTTTCTCCGCCGCCGCCTTTGCTTTAGCACATGATACAACAAGGGACGTTTCTTCTTCCTGTATCTTAATCAATTCGTCCATAACCTCTAAAACACTTTCATTCCTACTCCTACTTGAGCTAGTTTTATGAGATCTAACCGACAAAGGAATATGCTTATCACTTACTGCCTCATTATTTTTACCATCAAAATCCTGAGATTTTATAGCAGACTTCTTGACTTTGGACCTTGTAAATGCTCCAGTAGTCGACATTTAGTTGATTCGCAAAAGTTTCGGCACCAATGTTCAAAATGAATAGTTTAAATTATTTATTATATCTGTAAATGAAAAACTGATGTTCCTTGGTGAACATTTAAGCAACACTAAAAATCTTTATTTATTTACAAATTGGAATAGAAGCATATTTTTTTTAATCATCTGTTTAAAGAAAGACAAAGTTCAATATAATTAAACCTTTAACTAACATAACGTGCCATATCCATAAGGAAATGTTTACGACAGTAGTTTATATTCAAGAGTGAAATTTCTTGTTTTTTACCTAATTTTTTAAGGAATTACGTTTAATATATTGTACGGTAATTAATGAATGCATCTAAGAAGAGTGTTTCATACCTGCGGCCTTCAGCGTCAAATTGATTGTGAAGTTGCATAAAGCTTATCTTTGCTTATTTTCCCTTAGTAAGATCCATGACATTTTTACAACATAAATCATGAGAAACTTGAAGGATATTATAAAAATACCCCCGCCACAGCAAACCTGCAGACTATCCGATTGTTGGTAGATCAACTTGTACATCTCACAATGTGATTTATCAACTATCGTGTAAACATTGTCCAAAAGATTACATTGGCCAGACTTCAAACTCTTTAAGAGTTCGAATGACAGGCCATCGTTTTGATGTGGTACATGAAGACAAAAGAAAACCAATCCATAATCATGCCGCTCACCACAACCAAAAGTTTGAAGGCTGCTATACCTTTAAAGCCCTTCACAAAGTAAACCCTCATCAAAACCCTAAATGCAACCAACTGGTTTTAAGAAATTCTGAATTGGCTCACCAGTTGGTACTGAAAACAAAGTTCCCCTCTGGTTTAAATTTAAGATAGTAAAAAAGTGATTCAACTCAGCTGAATTTTAATTTTCTTTTAGGCTGATTTTATTATTTTCTTTGATCTGTACTCAATCATATGTTCTCAAAATTCAACTATTTGTAAACAGTTCATCCTTATTTGTTTGTTTTGTTCATTTTTTCATTTTTCAATTATATCTCTTTGCTTGACAACGTTTGTATTAAACGAAAATTTGCAATGTTTCATGTTTAATTTATCATAAACTCTATCAAGATCTCCTCAAGAATATATATATATATATATAAATATATTTATAAATAAATATATATATATATATATATATGAATTTGAACGGATGGTGTTTTTGGCCTCTAGGGACCTCAAAACGAAAAAGTAAATCGGTACCGGGTCAAGGTCTTACCATGAGTACTACGGTAATAGCTTATTCCCTATTCGGGAAATTCGCTAAAAGGAAAATGGTTTAATCAGTTTTAATTGGTCTAATAGTTTAAATCTGTTACATGCATTCATCGCCTTGTTAAACAAGTTTGTAAATGCATGTTTCAATTATTGTCATTTTCGATTTTATTTGATCTCCATAAAATGAATAACACATAATATTCTAACTAAGCAGCTATTTATTTTATTCTGTAGTGAATTCAGTTACTATTTTGAGCAACCAACCCCATTCACCGTTTACGGGGGTTTCAAAAATAAACATAACAATAACGAAATGATTATTATATTTCTTTGGTGATCAGATATAATCACCATTCACTCAACCAATTTGATTGTGAAAAAGAGCATTCAACGTTTAACTCTATCAGATAAAACTCAGCCGACAACCACTTTCCGTTTACTCCAAATAAAAAGCTTTTAAAACTTTCTTTCTTGAAGACGAAGTTATAAATTGTCCATTCGTGTATCCTACAAACCCGAACCCCTAACGGTAGCCATGAAACTTCTTAAACGATCTCTCTTATTTTGCCAAATATTTCTAACTACGAACTCGCAAAATACTGATAATAAACCGTATTAAAATGTACAGTAACAGTAGTTAAATGTAACTGTACTTGGATTCCAAAATGCGTTTACCATCGTTAATTTGGTATCATGTTTTGGTTTCTACTTTTAAAGTTGCAACCTTTCATCTTTATAAAACAGATCTTTGAAGGTCTTTGTATTAGGCCAAATTAACAATAATACATTTTTCAATAGCCAGGTCAATACATAATTAATTACTAGTTCTATTTCTAACTATTCTGATATTTACAATAATTAAAGATTAGAGCTTTAAAAACAAGTAAGGAACTCTTGGGCGCTGTAACAGGTTTTATTTAATCATTTGATTTTTAGCTGTTTTTTTATATATATATATTAGGTTTGGTTCTAACTTGAAAGATAGTGGAAGTGAGTTCAACAGTTTTATGCCAAAGTACAATGTGTGTTAACAAAATGATTTTGTTTAGGGATTGGCAAGTTAAATAAACTAGTGTACCGGTTGCTCGAATGCGAGCAATTGCTAAGGTGTATAGTCAATGTTATTACAGGCGTTATTTTTAAACGAATAACAGTCATAATTCCTGATGACTTTAAAAGATTCGACTCAAAGATTGCGGAAAAACCCAAGATATTCATAACAGATCTATATAATCAACATTTCTTGTAAATATCTTATAATTTTTCAAAAGCTGATCTTTTTTTAGTGTTTTCTACAAATAGCCTCACTCGTAGCCGCATTAGGTTGTCCATAATAATGATTATAATTTCTAAAAAAAAAAAAAACAATATTTCTATTTATTCTTCTTGGTAGTGTTCTACGACTTTCCTATGTTTCCATAGTTTGCAAATCGGCTCTTTCAATGATTACTAAAAATGCAGCACAATGTTGATTCAGATTTATTTATGAATATAAAACTATCCAGACTCTCTCACTTTTTTCCATTGTAATATATACACCAACCCAAATTCAAATGGTAAATATTTAATTTCAACCGAGTCAGTAAATGTGTGTAGCAAACTGTTAAATTGACAAACTTATTGACTGTTTACAATCAACATATGCTCTTCTTCTTACTTTTAATTTTTGACAACAGCTGCAGTTTCATAACAAATTTTATTTCCCATGTTAATCTTATGGAGAAATACGAAACTTTAAAGGGCCCCAGGGCCCCACTCTCTAATTATTTCCTTAAAAAGAAAGTTTCCTGCACAACTTCACGTTACGCTCTTTCCAGTGACACCAAAGCATGTCAATCGGTTCAGTAGTTTCGGAGGAGTAATTGTCAAAAAAACCTGCTTGCGTATTACATAAGTATAGATTACGCAATAGACTTTTAATAGAAAAGTCAAAATGAGAAAAGTTCTTTTAGGACTCTCAAAGATTCTAGAATGTAAATAGATGGAAAAGTCAGGATTACAATTGGTTGGCAAGATGATTTTTATACAGTTTTACTGTATAAAAATTGGTTTTTATAATATTTTACCCTCAAAACACAAAATTTCCCAATTTCTCTCTAGATCTTCTTTGAAGAGCTTAAAAACAAATAATTTAATATATCAAAGTGTTTTTTTACGGTTATAGGTAATGGAGAAA